GTTCACAGGTCTACACAGGGAGTGTGGAAAAGAGAAAGAGGAAGGAAAAAAAAGAGACACACATAGTGAGTGGATGCGGGACACAAATGCTCACAGTGGAAAAAAGAGAGAGAGAAGCAACAACTGCACAGTAAAGCAACAAAAAAGGAATTTCCCCCTTGCATGATAATACGTACCCCCTTAATAGAAAAGAAAAGACCCCACAATACCCAAATAAGAGAGAGAGAGCCAAACACACACACAATATACCATGGCTCTAGTTTATGTATTAAATTAACGCATACACATATATCTTTGTACTAGCAAGAGATGTATACCGTCAGTGAGCAGAACAGCCCAGTTTTCTACACTCACACAACGGGAAAAGCAAGTAATGGAATTATTAGAAAATGAACACACAAATAAAAGTAAAAGAAAAAAAAACTCGAATTGAAAAAGAAAGCTGGTAAACAGATTATTAGTTTATTCACCCATGGGGGATGTACGCAATTGTGATTGTGTTAGTTTTACCATTATTATTATTTGTCCTCAGATGAGTCCCACCGTTCAGTACATGGTAGCGGAGAACAACACAGCCACAATCAGTAGAGGTGCAGCAGTGCGCATCCACACAGGACTGATACTGCTGTCACCATTAGCCTTGTTCTGCAGTGTGGAAGTGATGGTGTTGTTGATCTGTGTGTTGGGTACAGGTGCAGGTGATGGAGTGGTGGTTGGTGCTTCTGTGGTAGTGTTCTCAGTGCTCGGCGGAGCAGTAGTATTTGTTTCTTTTGAGCCTGTTATAGCAGTCGTATTTGCAGGAGGTGATTGCTGGGTATAAGTAGAGTCGCTAGGGGCACTCTGATCCTCTGTGGTAATTGATGATCCTTGGTTTTCTTGTGGAGGTATTTGTTTAACTCTCTCCTTAGCAGCAGTAAGTGCTTTGTCAAGTTTCCCCAAGGCATCCTGCAAAAGGTTAGCATCTTCTTGCGCACGCTCCACTGCAGCTTCAGCTTTTTGTGCCGCCGTCTGTGCATCCTCTTCGGCATGGATGCCGTCGAACGCGTACATATCCAGACTCGCGTTATCCGTATAATTGAATGACGTCTCTACCTTTTTGTGAAGCTCCGTAAGCTTTTTTAGT